CACCATTAGAGAGGGAAATCAATGTGCAAAGTTTTTCCAGAAATCTCGACGTCCAGCAGCTGGAGACAACTTGTTGAGCTTGATGCTCCCATCCCCAGCTAGCTAATCTTTTGTTTGCTGACTTGTCTAGTGTTGTTTTTGCTAGGAACTATATCTAGCTCACTTTTGTCCTTTTTACTTTTTGTGTTTTTCTTTCCGATGTACCAAAAAAAAGAAGATGGTAATAATTTTGGACAAATAATTAATTTAATTGTATAAATTCATTGGTCGATATGAAGTATGGATTGACTTATTAATTTTAGGGTTTTACTATATCATCATTTGTGATCATATCCGATTCCATGGCCTAAAAAAGTTTTTGCCGTAGATGATGAATTGCTATTAATAAAATAGTTGTTTCTTATCAATTTTTTTTTATCAATATCATGTTAATGCAATTGACCAGGATTGACATCCTAAAATGGTGTCTAAAAATAAATTGTAGCCTTAATGGGATTCTCATAGAGTGAATACAGTCGGTCGATCCCATGTACGTAGTTCATTGTTTTTAATTCTCTTTCTTGTTTGATTGTTCACCACACTATATGTCACAACAGATGTATTTCAATCTAATTTTCAAGCTTTCAAGGAAGTAAATTTTACTCTCCTTTTTTTCTTTGCTATTGACAAGTGTAGGATGGGGCAAAATAAAATTCAGAGTCTTTGTGGCCAGGGATGTGTTTCTTGTATTTTTGGTTGTACAAACTGTAAGTACTAAGTGCAATCTCTTGGATGAAAGTTCATAGAGCCCAATTCATATTGAAATGAAATGTTTGAGGGTAGAAGATAAGGATTGAAGTAGGTTTTAAATAGTTGTTGCAGCCTCCATTAAGGTCTATGTGATACAGACTGTGTATTTAATGGATGTTCAGTTCCTGGTTAGATATCTAAGCAGTTCATCATTTGTTTTGGTTACACATAATCAAGAAGACTCACCTGATTTAATACAATGTTGTATGATTCTGCATTGGTGATTATTTAGTGGATGTTGTTGAGCATATAATGCTTATGTCAGATGATTAATAACTTTTATGTCAAACCTCAACTTTACCCTCTCAATTTTCATATGTTGTTTGCCCTTTAAGTTCCAAAATTACTCAGTAATACCTTCTCTCAGTAATACCTTCTTTGTCTATACATCATTTTGCTTTTTAGTTAAGAGATAACAACTAAACACCTTTACAATGCAGCTTAAGAATTTCTAACATCCTGACTAAATATGCTAGATTTTTCATTTTATGTTTATGAATTTGATGTTCAGATAGATGGGCTTCTGAAATCGGAATTTCGCATTTTGACATTATGGTTGAATCCTCCCTTTCTGTCTCTCCTCTCTTTCTTTTGTTTTTTTCCTTTTTCTAACATGAAGCCGAGAACCTTCTGTGCTTTTAAATCTAGGCTGTTAGCTTCATTTTTCCATAATTCAACATCCATCCCGCCATCCCTTCTATCTGAAAGCAGTTTTATTATTGCAGGTAATTGCTGTGATGGGTGGAATTGCATACATCATGGACAAGGATGGAACTTTCAGGAATTCATTTAATGACAGTTGGGATCGTATACTATCAAAGCATCCCATACCATTCTACTATTGTATAGGTAAAGTTTCACCTTACTACTTCGAAACCAGAAGACTAAAATTACATCAGAGACGTTATCGTCGTTTTTGGAGTTTATCAGTTTCAAAATTTGACCTTTGAGAGAATTTTTTTTTTGAAATTTTGACAACTGCTTACTAATCATGAGAATGTAGTCATGGAATTACTGGCATTTCTACGCGCAATAACAAATGCATTTACCCAAACCATTATTGAAAGACAAATGTGGGGGAACTTCTGGGTAAAGGAAACCCAGAAATTTGACCTTCAAGGGAATTTGTTTGGAAATATTGACAATGGCTTACCAATGAGAATGTTGTCATTGTATTATTGGCAGGTCCACGCTCAATAATAAATTCATTCCCCAAACCGTTTATGTCGAGAATTTTCTGGATAGAGAAACCCTTGTAGTACGTTGTCTTTCTAGTTATAGTCTTTTCTATCTGAGGACCAGTCACTCTGTTCTTTGTTTCACTACTAATCTTTGAAAATTGCTGCAAGAGCTTTCATAATCTGCTTTTGAGAAATGGGATCAATAATCTACATTTTTCTTATATTTTTCCCTCAGCTTCAGCACAGAGGCAATAGAAATTGTATTGCGTGGTCAATGCACTTGGTTTTGGGAATTTTTTAAATCTAAACTTGTATCCCAAATCTCCAATCGAGCATCTTTTAATCAAAGGCCAATAGTCTTTCTTTCCTTGAAAGCTGTGTTTGAATTTGAGTTGCTATATACTATTCAGAATGTGTGGGTGGGGGTTCCTGATATATTTAAGATAGGGTAATCTTTTTAATGGAATACATATCATTTATTTTCTTGAAATCACTAGTTTCATTTCCAGCTGAAGAAAATTAGAAAGAGTGTACAATGCATTTATGGAAGAAAAAATATTGAAGTGCGGTCATAATTTGTGGCATGATGTCACCACTCACTAGAATGTTTGAAGCTCGAACTTCCAACTTTGAAGTGAGCTCCTAACATGTATGAACAGTAGAAATATTGGATATAGTTTTAACTTTTAATGTGGACAATTGGGCTAGGACGTAATGTACAATCAAATTCCATTCTTTGTACAAGTTATTGTTTGTGCCCTTCTGTTTTACCTTTATTCTTTGACAGTGTCCAACCAAGCAGTTGATAATACCCCTGAATTCCTTGGGAGTGGTCACTTCTCTTCCCAAATGCTATTTAAAGTTCTGCATGGTGTTTATGTTGGCCTTTTTTTCCCAAAAAAAAAAAAAAAACAATTGCTATGTGTTACCATATCAATTAGCAATTTTGCTGCTGGGCTGTGTTCGTCAGTGGGCTTTAAAATTTTCCACATTTTCAATAATAAATCCAGTAGGATCTAGTTCTAATGTTTGCCGGGTGCAATAGTTGCAGTCTCTTCATTTTGTGTTTTAGTATGTTTTTTTTTATGATATTTTCATCATTTATTCTATGCTCTGACCCTCTAAATAAATATTAATAGGAGCTCTTGCCTTCTTTGTGCTGTTTGGCTTTTTTGGGCTCATACTACATTGCTTCTCCCTTAATACAAGTGACCCACGCATGGCTGGGTGTCAGAACTACTGTTATGGGTGAGGCATATTGGATTGCTTTCCAGCATCAATGGAAGCGTGGTTTGCACTGGTTATTGTTTTTATTGTTATCTTTGCCATCCTAGGCATTGCCTATTGTTTCCTTGCTACCACCATGGCCATCCAAAGGATCTGGCAAAGACACTACCATATTCTTACCAAGAGGGAACTCACACAGGCATATGTCTTTGACAAAATTTGTCATAAAGAGTACTCTCGCATTGACATTTTTCTGGAACAAGTCAACTAGTGGACTTACTATTTATATGTTATCTAATCCTGTTTTGATGATTATGAACGGAACTCACTATTCTTGTTTCTTGAGAAAATAATAACTAAAAGATCGGACTGTGCCCTGTTATAATAGGCTAAACCTGTTGCAATAAGCTAAATGGTAGAATCAAACTGAATGTCTGATACTCTGTTATAATACTCATTACGTGTCGAGTTCATGTCAATGATAGACTGACAGTGGTGTGATGGTAATCACAAATGATGAAAATGTACCAAACAACCAGCCATGCATGTAGCAGGATTATAGTTTTTACTCTTTTGATCGCAAAATCTTTGGTTGCATTTGGTAACCCATTATTTTTGTTTTTTTCGATTGTTGTTTTCAATTTTTGACAAAAAAATAAAATAAAAATGTGTCTGTATGTTTCTGTTTCTTTTCGTTTTTAGGAACTCTATTTTAAAAACAAGGCCAAAGAATAAAAACACAAAAAAAATGTTTTCACAAACACCAAAAAACCAAAATACACACTGACTTCGAAGGAATTTAATGAGATCTTAGCTTCGATCATTCTTAGAAACGAAAAAATGATTTTTTTTGCTCAAGCATAAACCCCCCCCCCCTGTTTCACTTTCTTTTTTTCCCGCTACCTCTCTCTCTCTCTCTCTCTCTCTCGCCTCTCTATGCTCTCTTCCCTCGCCCATCTCTGTTTCCCTCGCTCTCTCTCTCTCTCTCTGATTTTTTTTTTTGGTGGTTGGTGGTGGTGAGTTTCGGTGGGTTTTGGGTGGTTGGTGGTGGTGGGTGGTGGATTTTTGATATGACTTGCTCTCATTTGGCATGGATTCTAATGAGTTAATTTCAGTGCAATTGTCGTTATTTGAGTTATTCTTTCAGAACATCTCACAATCTGTACTCTTCTTCATTCCTTATTGCTATTCTAGCCTATCTAGTTTGAGGTTCCCATACAATTGATTTCTCATGGATAGGGAGCAAGTTTCATTTTTAGTTTAATCTGGACCAAATGGCTTACTTGGCACAAAATGTGTACCTTTTATTATAATTTTGAGGAATGCTAATTTGCCTTTTATATTGCTTTAGTCAAGTTGTCGTCAACATGAGTTTCTTAACTTGCGAGATTCAGATATTCCACACTAATGTCATGGATCCATTGACTACTATAACTACTGTGATGGGCTCTAATGTTTTGCAAGAACTCTGACTGGAAATTTCTGATTGGATTTGATTCCTTCTCAGCTTTCCTTTCTCCCTTTCTTGTTACTTTTTCTTTTGTTCCCTGGATTTTTTGGGCAGGAAGATGGGGGAAGGAAGATCTAGTGAAATATGTTCTAGTCAAAATCTCTTGGTGCATTAGTTAACCAAAGAAAAAAAGGATTATGCATTGCTCTTTTAGTGAAGCTCACTAATTACATTATTGTTTCGTATTATAATTAGTGTCATGTTTACAATTTTTTCTTAAAATCGAAAGGACCACTTCTTTAGTTTCTTTGGACCCATCTTGGTAAAAGTTGGTACTCTGTCAATTGTACCTTTGTATCATGAAATTTATGTCTATAGAATGTTCTCAGCATCTTTCATTCACTTCTTTCTCATCTTGGTGTGTTTTACTTATCCCTAATATGATTCTCCAATAAGTGAAATCAAGTTAACTTCCTGATCTTACAAGACAAGCCCATTTATATGCAACCATCAGCATAATTCTCTCCCTGTCTCTCCTTATGTGTGCGGGTGTGTGTTCATGTTCCACTTTTTCTGTGTTCTGGTGTTATTTGGTGCATATTTGGGTACAATTATTGTTTTCATACTTCCAATTAAGTACTTTGCCATTACTCTGATCGACAGCAATTTAACTTGCCAGTGTATATGTGGTCCCAGATTGAGTTGAATGTAAAACGATGTATGAGACCTTACTGTCTATCCTGCCTTCGTTAACGAGTTATTTCTCACTGGAAAAGAATCCCTACTAGTTGGTGTCCTTAGTTTGCTGAAACTTGCTGCGACAACGATGAATGTTTTTATAGAACAGCAAATATATACTGTTTCTGGTAAGGAATTTGTTTATGGAGACATAAGCTATCAAGTAACGTCATATATGCTTTAGTTTTGCCCATGTAATGTCCTCTTGGTGAGATTTTAATTAGTTAAATAGTATTTGAAAAACAATCCAACAGTAAATGAGAATTCAAGTTCTGAAATAAAAGCCCAAGAACATCAGACAGTAAACAAGATCGGGTTCCTTGGACCTCAAATTTTTAGTTACCAGTTTCTTCCTGCCCTGCCTTAAATGATTTTATTCCATATGTGCGTGCGTGTAACTTTTTGCAGCTATTTGCTTTGACACAGTTAAGAAGCACTTGACACCTAAACCTGGAGAACAGCCCAAACTACCAGTACCTGTATCTCCAATTGCAGGTGCTATTGGTGGAATGAGCTACCTTATGCACGTACCCACTTGAGTTGCTCAAAACTCGACTAACCGTCCAGGTGTACAGAATAGCACGGGGATTTCATATATTTACAGCATTAACTATGAAGCTGTGGCTTGTTATTTATGGATATCGTGTATTTGCATAGGGGTGCTTACAAGAATCTTCTAGACGCTTTTCTGAAAGTACTGCAAGAAGGGGGACCTGCAGAACTTTACAGAGGCCTTACCCCCAGTATAATTGGAGTAATCCCATATGCCGCCACTAATTATTTTGCTTACAATTCATTACGGAAAGCTTACAAGAAGGTTTTCAATCGGGAGGAAATTGGAAATACTGCAACTCTCTTTATCGGATCAGCAGCTGGTGCCATTTCAAGTAGTGCAACTTTCCCACTTGAGGTGGCTCGCAAACACATGCAAGTTGATGCTCTCAATGGGAGACATTACAAGAACTTGCTTCATGCCGTTTCAAGCATACTCGAGAAGGAAGGGGTTCCTGGTCTGTACAGTGGGTTGGGGCCAAACTGCATTAAATTGGTCCCTGCTGCTGGAATTTCTTTCATGTGCTATGAGGCATGCAAGAACATCCTTGCCAAGGAAGAAGATGATCCATAAAGATGGGAAACGCAAATTCTGAGGTATTTACTAAGACACATTAGATTTATTTTCCAGCTCATACAGTTTTTGGTGAGAGAGAATTTCAAAGCAAAATAAGAGCAGTATTTTCTTAATGTGATCCTGTCTAGTTTATGTTCTTCCATAGGATTTGGTTCAAAGATCATATCTGTGAAACGAAACTTAAATTGGGCTTTTTTTTTTCGCTGCATTGATCGAGTTTATTTCAAAGAATTGAGATATCTGATGTTTGACAGGCTTTTGAAATGGAAAATCTGGAATGTTAGCTTCCATACATTCCTCATTTTATTTTCTATAATTTGATCTAGCAACAAGTAACATGATAGAACAATAATGCTACTCAACATATTTTCTTACCAAAATAATGACAGATTTCCATTGACAAGAGTTTTTTAGAGGAGAAATTCAAGAGCTGAAAGTTTCCAAAATTTGATCAGTATCCAAAACCCGAACCCTCAAACAAAGTCAAATGAAAAATTAAAAATAAAATAAAAATAAATGCAGAACAAATAATATATTTACCCATGATTTTCTTCACTCATTTTTTTTTCCCACCAGTGTTCATGCATTTGTCGTAGTTGCAAAGATACAAAAGAACAAACATATCGCATGGGGTCTATATATGTTTTCAAAACCATATGACAATGAGACAATCACAGGACTGAAGCCACTGCACTATGCACATATTGGGAAGTAAGCACAGATTTGGAAACTAACAAGCTCGGTTGGATAACATTTTTTGTAATTACAGCATAATTTTCAGAGCAAGAAACTTGGGTAAAACAGTAACGTAAGCTATAGGAGCATTCTGATCTCATTTCGGTTAAGCTAGATTCCAAACATTGTCGACATATGTATTTGTATGAACATGAAATATCCCAACAAGCTTTAACATGATACTTCCCAAGGTACATCATCATTTAAACTTTGCATTGATAAACAGATAGAACGTGCAAGTCAATAATGGAAGTTGCTAATAGAAAATTCAATAATACATACACCAAAGAATGTATAATTCAAAAACACCATTATCATGTCAAATGTGTTCAGCAGACAAGACATAAGAATCAAATAACAAAATCTAATACTGAACAGATGAAGTTCATTTCCGCAATCCTAAAAAATATTCCCAAACAGCTACCAAGATCATTCAGGAATAGTACCTCTGATATCTGTAAACAACTAAAGAACTAGTTGAATTAATTGCATTACCTAACTACAGACAGTAAAACCAACAAAACTTGAGTAGGCAGAGCCCCTTTCAGCTCTGCTCATCACCATCTGCAGCAGCCCTCTCCTCTGCAGCAGCTGCCATTAATTCATCAAAGTTCTCTGTCTTCCCCAGCAATATCTCAATCTAAGAAGCAGAATTCCAATTGATGTTAAACTCAATAGTACATTGTACAACTTAGTATAAATGATTACAGAGAATGGAACCTAGAAACCCACTGTGTAAACCCCCTTTATATCACCAAGTCCAACAGCAAACAGATGAGTAAATAATTAAAATCACCCCACAAAATCCATATGCAGCAGAGAAAAATACATGAAAGGGCTGCAGAGTCATACTATGTAGGCGTACATAAAAAAAAAAAAAAGGCGTATCTGACCCAAATCCTAGACATACACCACATTACAAAACTTACCTTGGCTTTAGAGATGGGACGCCCTCTCGATTCATCCTTCATATCAACATTAGATGTCATGATCTCTGCAAATTATGATCATTAGGTTTGCGGAGAAATACGAAGAGTAATCAACTTTCTCTTTTCTGAAAAATAAACTATCAAAAGTCTTACTCTTCTCAACAGCCAATCCATTGTGTTTTAAAAGTTCAGCAACGGTGACAACTGTGGCAATAGCTGCAGATATGACAGTATGAGCTCATCAAAAACGGAAAATACCATAAAGAAGCTATAGACTACTGTAAGAGCCTAGTTTTCTGCAGATGATATCTAAATAAAATTAGCATGGATATCATGCACATGAAATTATTTCTGATAAATTATCTAGAAAGCACAACTATACGATTTTCACTCACCCTCAATTAAGAGGATGGAAAGAGACAAAATCAAATTTTGGACGTTCAAACTTACACAATCCTTGGAGAGAAATATATATTATTTTCATGCAATACACACACACGAAAAAATGAAAGCCAGACATTTAAACTTTTTAATTATGCAGCATAAAACTATACAGATTTCACGAGGGCTACAAAAGAGAGAGGGGTGATGGGGAAGAGAGAGATGAAATAGACATAAGAAGAATAAAAGATGGGGATGGGCACAATACCATTTGTGAAGGCGTTTTGGTAGGACACTATCAAACCTTGCATCCACACGTGCACTCATGTACTAGGGATGGGCAGGCGAGAGAGACGAGACAAGGGGGAGGAAAGAAGACAACAAATAGACGAAACCAACAAATTGTGGGGGCTTCAATCCTTGCAATGCAGGAACAATGCAAAGCCATGGCTCACCTTGCGATGTCACCTAGAGGCTCATAAGAGGTGGTTGTGGTTGGGAATGTCCGAAACAAAGGTGCTAGCTAGTTCTGGTGCCAATTAGTCCTTATGCTGCAAGGGTTGACGGTACCTCATGTGTCCATGGTGTTGCAAGAAGATGAGTAGTCTTGGTGCCACATGCGTTCCACCATACCACTTCTTCCACAGGCACCACTAACTAACTTGCTATTCCTATCCGAGAAGAGAATGTGGTGGATAGTGCAAATCGCGTGCCTCTTAAAATACGTATTTAAAGAATATACAAGTTTCATCTTCGTTGTTGAATCTTACATGTGACTATGCTGTACAGGTGACACACATTATAAACACCTCATTTGCTCACCAATCAAAAGGGAAAGGATTATTATTCATTCAATTCAGAGACGCGTCTCTCTACACGATATCTCTCTCTAACATGGGGTCTACTCTCCCTTATCTCTTCTACTTCAACAAATTAACTTTTCTCGAGCCTCTTTGGAAAGACATGTACAAATCCTAACACTTGGTTCTATCAACTTAATATTTCAAGTCATTCTGCTGTTCCAAGGACCAATAGAGAAATGAGTTTCATGCTTTAATAACGTTTACAATATCTGTCTTCTTCTTTAACCTTCTCACTGAGGGACACCCAGAAAAACAAAAACATATAGAAGTTTCAGGGGAAAAAAACAATCAATAGACTTATGGACACAATACCTGCGATAAAGCAGAGTAACACTGGAGAAAACAATAAATACACTTACACACATAATATAACCCCCAACGTGATAAATAATGAAAAATTAACATAACAAGAGGTTTAAACTACACAAGCTATTGTCGGAGAAAGAAAAAAAAAGAAAAAAAAAGAAAAAGTACCCATGCCAAGAGCTGAAAGTTCCACCTCATTTTACTGTTGCATCTACCTCTGCAATCACAAATCCAACACAAATAACCCATTAACTCAATACTTTACCACAAAATAGAAAAACAAAGCTAGGGAGATATAAAACACCAATCTCACTCATTCCAGCCCATAACCTATACCTAAACTCCAGATCCAAAAAAACAGAACCCAGATTCTATTTTTTATGGATTAACAAGAACCCCAGACTTTTTATTGATGGATAATTCAAAACCCAAATTTCATATGCATCCATATGTATTGTGTGGATGCAATTAGGAAGAGAGAAGGGAAGAGATACCTTGGCGATATTGCCGTAGAAGAACAAGGGTTTCTTGGTGTTGGAGACCTGAATCCGATTCTTATTGTACGAATCGCCGGTTAAGGTGACGTTGGTCACTCCGTCGGTTATCTCTTCCATCTCTCTCTCTCTCTCACACACACACACACAAACAAACGCAGAGGATTGATAAAATCTTTATAACAGACAAGAAAAAACAGTTAGCGTCAGGATGTGGGCAAGGACGGAGCTGTTAGTGGGCTGAAACCAGGATAAAGAAAGAAAAAATTTAGTAATAATTGGAAGTGAGTTCCTACGTGAAGTTATTTTGGAGATAAGTCCCGGAAGAATATTTATAATGAGTTAAATTTATATTTAAAATTATATGTACAGACTTAAGTCTATTTTTTTTTTTTTTTAAAATACCCTTCTTTGAAAGAAAGTTAATATTTTTTTTCTCATACCTACCTATATTCATATCATATATAAGTTAGGAGTTTATATAATATTAAAAATTTTTCTCTCTTTTATATATATATATATAGTAACATTAAAAATATAATATAATAATATTTAAATACAAAAAAAAGTTATTATGAATTTAAATAGTAAAATTAAAATTCATGTTATTATTTTTTTTATTATGTTACTATTCATGTTACTATTATTTTTGAATATGTTACTATTTTTATTGAGCATATTACTATTATTATTTTCCTAAATATTAATATTCAATATTACTATTTTTTTTTGAATATTACTATTTTTTATATTTGAATGGTACTATTTTTTGCACTTGAATTTGAAAGAAATAATTATTGTTAAGTATGTTATAGTTTTTATTAAGCATGTTACTATTTTTATTAAACATGTTAATATTTTTGTTGAACATGTTACTGTTGTTATTTTTTAAAAATATTAATATTGAATATTTTAATATTTTTTATGTTTAAATGTTACTATTTTTTTGTATTTAAATGTATTATTTTTTGTGTCCAAATGATAAATTTTTTTTGTATTTAAATTTTACTATTTTTTATTTTTAATGTTACTCTATATATATATATATATAAGAGAAGTAAAATTTTATTTTAATGTTAGTTAAACTCTTAACCTATATATGGATATAGATAGATATGAGTGAGAAAATATTTTAATGCTAGTCAAACTCCTAAAATTTAGGAGTTTTTAATTTTTTAGTTTTATTTCACTTCTAAAAAAAATGGATAGCATGATAAAATTAACAAAAAACGGACTTTATAACAAATAAATTTTCTTAACAAATTTAAATACAAACAAGTCCATATAAG